AGCATTCCTATGACTATATAAAACGAGGCTATATACTTTTTAAGGAAACTAATATTGCTCCTGTCCCTAGCTGTTAGGGTTCAAAAGGTGTCGTCGTTCATACGGACGAACAAACGGAAGGACAAGTCGACAACCATTTGTCTCATCAAGCTGATCATAAACATGTTTACATGCCGCGCCTCCTCTTGGCTGCTCAATTCAGACTTCTTAGTAAGCCGTTCCCCCTATAGGTTGACATGCTATATAGTGTAACAAAAGCAACCGCAATGACTGTTGGCATATCAAATCAAAAGAAGTCAAGGCCCGGGCCAAAGACTTGCGACAAACAAAGACACCAGACAATAACGGCCGAAACAAAAACAACAACAACTCTACCGCCACTGTCAGTAATTGAGGAAAAAAAACAGACCACAACATACAGTGGTTAAAAACTCTCAGTATAAGTGGTCGAAAGAAACAAGTCTAATCAGTTTTAAACTAGACACCAGCCCTTGTTGCGTGACGATATCCCAAAGGGAATAATAATTTTAACAACAATTATCAATACCTTATATTTTCATTATCATTTTTTTTTGTATAATATCTTAAGCTCTTATATTATTTTATAGTACTATTTTGTGATTTATCTTAATCACAAATATTACTGAAACATCTTTAGAAATGACTAATCAGTGCCATTCAACAGAAATTCATCAGCAATCACAAATTATGAATATATAATTGTTAACCGGAAATATCTAATAAATGGTTGCAACGCCACCCATCAAAAAAAAAACTTTGGATTAGAAATCTTTAAAAAATACTATCTCTGTACAAATTTGACAAATGATTCCAGCCCTTAAACTCAAAAGCAAACGGGCATTCTCACATCGACAGCTCTGTTTGTCGATAAATAAATAAATAAATACAAAAATTCAAAATACTACCAAATCCATATAACATGGTAGAACTCGGAAACGGACACATGACCTATGTGTTCTTTCCTTCATCTAATACACAACATTCTTATAATAGGCATTTTGTCGGACTAAAAGACTTCAGATAATTTAAAGGCAATTAGTATTTATTTTGTAAATTAAATAAAGTTTCGCTTTTATAACAAAAATGACACTATACTGACAATAGCTAGAGCTAAAATTCTGTTCAGCTAATTCGATAATAGACACCACTGTGCAACTTTGTCCTTCTGTGCTTCTGTTATCGCCCACCTCCCGCTCTTTGCCGTCTGTTGGGTGTCAAATGGCTGCCCACTGACGTCGTTTAATTCGGTCAACGTGAACATCGAACGGCCTGCTTCCAGGTGTTGCTCTGGCAGCAATTGTTGTTATTGTTGGTGGGATGTCAGTTTCAATGTCGTCGTCATCGTCGTCGGCATCGGCGTCTTGGTGGCCAGTTGTTGGGGTTAAGTGGCTGACTGTCCCGTGCGATTTGTCTCTGGTTGCCTAGACTAGACGCTGTGCTTTAATTTGCATTTCATTTCGTTTTGTGGCCAACGCTCTTGGCCAGCTTAGTCATAGCGCCGGCATCGAAATCGCCAACATATCACATGGCTGACTAATCATTCGGTCGTGCGCGTGCTTAGACACCCGAATCTTGGGGAAAGGGGACTACATACATACTGGGCACTAGGTAGTGGGCAACCACCCCCACGCGCATTCATTGAACTTTTAAGCATTTTCGCTTTGCTTTTAATTCCTTCGATGTTTCTCATTAATCTAAAATTGGCAAATTTTGGCTGAAGGTCTTCTTATTGGTGTTGTTTGTGTGCATGTGTGTGATCAAAGCGAGTTCTATAAATGTTACAAATTGGTTTTAATGAACTGGAAAATTTGCAGCTGTGGTTAAGTCGGGGCTGAGTGTCTGAGCTTGAGGTTGAGGTCTTTCAAATGCTGGCAGATGTATAGTTAATTAGCCTTAAAAACGATACAGAAAATAATGCAAAGTGATTTCGAATACAATATGTTGTAATCTCCTCGGCTTATTGGACTTAATGATCGACAAAAAATTAGTTTTCGGACTTCTTAGTCATCGAAATGGTTCATATTTAATATTCTGAAACAAATTTTCGATTTGTAGAAAAAACTACTTTAACAGATTTCCATTCTTCTTTATTGTTATAAAAATAGTTTCATTCTTCATACATATATAGAAATGATTTAGCAATGAAGCTCTTTTCATTGATTTTTCAAGCCAATTTGTTATGACTTCATCAAGTAATCTAAATAGACACAGTTTCTAAGAATCTTTGAAAAGCGATACAAGAAATGTGTAATGTTAATAAAAGTTACTTGTTAAACTTTTTCATTTCTCAGTGCAATACTATACGCCTCTAAACGTTTCATCTAACTCTATCTTTATTACCATAATTTTGTGGCACTTCGGATGAAATTCACTTTCCGTTGTAGCCATGAACAGAAATATGATGCCAATCCAAGTACTACGTGCTCTCAATCAAATAAGTAGTAATGTAATATACGAACTGTTTCCGGCCATACCCAACAAATGGCATTGCCCATAAAAAGTTAAGTAAACGCATCAAAATACACAAAGTTCCAGCAGAAAATCAAATAAGGATAATGCGTTGGGAATGAACTGTCCCTACCGACTGGCAAAACAAACAAACCAAAAGCGAATGTTGGATTGAGACTGCACTCGAACCCACAAACCGAGAGGGGGAGGAGCAGTCATAAAACGATGGCGAGACAACAAAGGGTAGTCAGTTGGCCGAGAGTTGGAGTCAAGGTGGCGGGGAGGTAGCGGGCTGCAAAAAGTGCGGGTTGTTTGCCAGACGGAGCAACTTTATGCAGCATCCCCCATTGGGCAACCACCAGACGAGCTTCGTCTGTCGACTTGGCAACCACCTCAGACTCCTTTGCAATTTTTTTTCGACATAATGTACATGCATAGTTCAAAGTTAGTTGCTGGCGACAGAGACTCCGATGGCGTCTGCTGTGCTCAGGAATTCTTGGCTAGCAAGCGAAAGTGATTGAATTCCAGCAAAGCTGGCGCCACTCTCTCAATAGTTGGTTGGAACATGTATGGAAAGAATTTGTTATTGCATGAGTGTTGCTTATTGAAAACTTTGTGGTAAGTGTGTGTATGTCGACTGAAGTTAAAGTCCTCAAAATAATTGATTTAGTTATATAAAGAAACGAAACTTTGATTTGGGCGACAAGGGTTAAGCGTGAATTGAATGGCGCATTGAACTTAAAGACAGTAGTTTTTAATTTATTGTCAAAATCTAGCTTTATTCGTAGGGAATATAACGTATGAGCAGGAAGAGAATTTTTACTGGAGAGATTATATTTAATTTTCTTTACAATGTTTGCACTATTTCTCTGAAACTTTAATACCCCATGGTCGTCGTGAAAGTTCTCTCTTTATTAATGACGGATTTATACAGAACATTAAGCAGTTCTTAAGGTCTGTTTTGTTAAATTAGAAAATATGTTTATAACATAGCTTGATAAGAAATGTTAAACAAATTGTTTTTAAATAACAACAAAACAAAAATAACACAGAACCATTAACATAAAATAATAAAAATTCAAGGGAGCATGCTAATTAATAAATTCTTTCGACACCAAATTAATGTCGGGAAATTATTTTAATAGTAGTGGAGAGCTTCTTTCGACTCAATTTACCTCTGCAATAGTAAATATTTGTTTCCATTTCAGAAAAGTCTTTTTGGCTCGATAGTTAATTAATATCAAAACTGAGCCAAGATATAACATCGGATCGGAGCGGCAAACGAAGCCCAACCAAGCGTTAATCTTTAAGAAGTCCCTAATCTTTAAGACAACCCCATGAAAAGTCTTCTTCTGCGTTTCTGAGCCAACACATTTTGTCCAAACCATACCACATTCAATTCACAATGCATTTCCTCTTGATTTCCGCTCGACATTTGCCACATTTTGCGCATTCTGAGCACCAGAGTGGAGGAAAACGCAAAGAACCCTCCTGAACTGCTGCTTTCGTCAACCCACTATTGCGCTGAACGAGCCATATATTTTTTTAGAGGTGTCTTACCCTAAATCGATTTTCTTGCATGTCGTCGACGACGTGCTCCTTTTATCCTTGGAGCGTGTGCAGGCTTTTGCCACGCGACTTCCTCGTCATAGTCATCAGCATAACATGGCTTGGCGTTGGCAGAGTCTATCAGAATTGCCTGCTGCTGCATTTGAAATTGCAAAATGTGCCGTTATGCGCAATAACAAAAACAAAATAACAACAATAGTGAAATTTTGAGACTGCTGCAAAAAGTTGGCGTCAATCGACGTCTAGAGCCTGAAGTCTGGCATATGGCGTTTTAAGTGCCAAAGTTTGTTTTATTGGTAAACTGTGAAATTGCATTGTATTTGAAACTGTGGAAATGGCGTCGATCCAAAAATGAATGAAAAACCAGTGGGGAGAAAAACATGCATGTTTAATTGCCTGTCATGGAGAGCACGATAAGAAAAATGCAAAATGGAACGAATATACATACATTCATACATATGTACATAAATAGAAGGGGCGATAAGACATGCGGAAATTCAAAGAAATTGCTTCATTTGCGAGTCAAATTATCACATTGTTTTGCATATTACTTAGACGCATTTAGCATTATTAACACACTTTCGTCATAAAAATATACAGTATTCGCAAAACCGGTTCTTTCCAATACACACAATGGATATTGTTGTTGTTATTGTTTGTAAGCTTTTAAAGCTGCGAAGCCAGCTGGGAGATGAAGATTGCAGCTGCCCAGCAGGTGGAACAACACCAAAAACAAACCAACTACAACCCGTTATGTTCGTTGTTGTTATTGCATCCCAAAAAAATAAGCAAGAAACACAGCGATAAGAGTAACAATAAAAATGTAGAGCCGCAGATAAAAGAAACACACAAGACAAAAATACAAAAACTGTGGAGCAAAGCAAACTGCGACAAAAACAAACAGAGCCCAGCACCAAAAATCAATAATAAAGGACACAAAAGCAACAGCATAAAGAACTTACTTACAATTATGTTTGTTGGTGTTGTATACCTATGTAGGTGGTGTGTTGTTATTCTTTTCTTTCTTTAATGCGCTCTTTTACATATGTTGGCGCCACACGCTGGTGTTAGGCGAAGAGGGAAGCAACAACAGCGGTGGGTGTGTGTATAAATATTTGACGACACGACATTAACGGAGGGTTGTTTCATTAGAATTTGTCGTTATTTTGCTATACGACGGTTTTGAAAAAAGGCTGTGCACTTGTTCTTGCGCGTATTTCTATTCCTGTATTCTACCGACAATAATACATTTAAATTGTATGAAATCACTAACGTTAAAACCAAGTCGCTCGCATGCGTTACGCACATCCGTTCGCCTCAAAACTCGCACAGCTTTTGATTTCTTCAGCTGGCCGGGCTGCCAACGTCATGCAAACGGAACAGTATCGCCACAGTCGATTGTTGAAATCGATAATTGTATAGACTGAAAGTGCTCGATGTTACGGTAATGCATATCGGTAATTTACGAAGCCCTGGTTCACTCTGTAGCATTGCGCGGCTCGGTCGTAGATATTTTTGGCAAGTCTGTTGGAGTCCATATATAATTAAGTGTTCATTAAAGTGCGAGTTAAAATAAAAACAAACAGCTAAAACACTGCTTGGAGAAGAATTGCTTAGAAAGCAATAAAAAATAAACATAGTAAGTCATGGAAAATGCCCACATTCCCACACACACATACCAATACCATACCAATGCAAAGCCATGCGAATTTGCCAATTTGTGGCTCTGTGTTAAAACATTTATTAAATTGTCGCAATATTATTTGCAACACAAAATACCTATGTACGTACATATGAATGTATAACTGTATGTGTATGTGAGTATGTGCTATAGTTTTTTTTTTGTAATATTAAATGGGCAATGTGTTGCTGCCGGTTGTTCGGCGCGGGCGACAATGGCGGGCATATGCACACACAGGCATAGATATATATACGTACATATGTATGTATGTGCATGTACAGAGAGAACGCACACACAGGTGAATGAACTTTTTTGCGTTGTTTTGTAATCTTTATTTTCTGTTGCCGTGTTGTGTATGCGCATTTTGTAATTGTTTTTAGCGAACGCGCGCGCAAACAAAACACACATGGCGTTATTTTCCGTATTCGCGTACTCTCTGGCATTGTCTGTCTACTCTATAGTTTTTCCTTTATTGCCGCCCCTAGCGCTGCCGTTGCAAGAACGGCTGTTGCCGCCATTCTGCGCGCCCTGCGGCAGCGACAATTTTTTGTTGTTGTTGCAGCTGCAACATACAGTTATTATTATTGGTCTTGGTTGCTCTTTGGCGCGTCTTTGGCAATGCTTTTTTATACCCTGCCAAAAAGTGTATATTAGTTTAGTGCGAATGTATGCAGCACAGAAATGTGCATACATATATGTATGTATGAGGCAGGTGCTCTTTATATGGGAGCGATCGAGTTTTTCGAAGCACCACCCATTCCCCACTAATGACGTTTTTTACATTTATTGAAATTTCGATCGATTCCAATAAACATTAAAAATTGCATTTAAAACTTTAAAAAAAAAAATTAATGAAAGGGGTACAAAATTCAGACTTTCCATTTATGTTTAAATTAACTTTTGCCTGCATTTTACAATAAGATAACAAGCATTGTGAAATTGTCGCACATGTTTATATTCTCCCCTTTTCTTTATCTTCCTCCCTCTCGCTCTCTCTTTGCAATGTTTTTTTTTTGTCAAGTCATTTGCATGTTTGTTTAATTTGTTGCCACAGCCGCAAAACCTCAAATTTGCAATACATTTTTGAACGAAATTTTTCGTATTAATTTTTGGCACATTACATGGAGTAGAAAACATTTTATTTGCACAGTGGAGCAAGTTCTATTTACCATCACTTACCCGAACAGGTGAAGAAAAAGACGAAATATTTTAACGTTTTCAGAAGAAAATCATTTGTTTTTTGTTTTTGTATTTAAATAACTTCCATTTCATTTGTTCAAGGCAAAGCGTTTGCATAAAAATACACTTATTTTTGTTTGTTTTACACTTTTAGCATATGTATGTATGTTTGTTTCTGGTACGTACAAATAATTTGTTAATGTGTCTGTTGTTTTTCAAACCATAATCTAAAGCACTATATTTTTGATAACTTGTTTTACCAACTTGAAATTGGGACCTACTTTGCTTTATCATATTTCCTATTGTAACTATATATGTGTGCTTCTTTGTCTTCTTCTGTACAACTGTACTTTCTTCCTAGATATATTGAATCGATCTTAAGTTTAGCTACTTGTAGTATGTTGATCTGTGTATAAGTTGTTCTTGTTGTGGTTTTTACTGTAGTAATTGGTTTCAAGCATTTCTAACTAAGCGCTTTAAACGTTATCCAAAGCAAAAGCTCATAAGGCAGTCGATACACCCTTGCAAAGCAATTATAAATATATGTATATAGTATTTACTCGTATAAAGTATAGATCCTGTATTATAGATGGATCATTAGCGTAAGTAGCTTTGATTGGAACGATACCTACAATCTGCACATATGAAATACGAATACATACAAACGTACGAGTATATGCCTCCAAACCTCAAACCAAATCAGTAGATCATAAGATTCGGAGAAGGAAATGCGAACACAGTTTCAAAATAATAGAGTCATGAAAACTAATTTGAATATTTGGGATTCTATCTTATTGCCTGAACAAATCTATGGCGGGTTATTAAATCAAATCGGCCGATAATATACATACTTGCAAGGGCATACATACTTCGGCATGCCAAAGTTCAGAATATTTTATATAATAATAAGAAATTAATATTACACAACAGATAAAATTGCGCGTATGTGTGTGCGTAGGAGTGTATATATATAATCAAGTATTAAAGGTAGTGTGTATACAAAAAATTGTGTAAAGATAGTCGTAAGTCGTAAATTTAATTTACAATCAAAGTTTGAGACATAATTACTGCATTAAGCATACATAATTATAAGTTAGGTAAATGTTTATAACGTATATGTATAATTAATGTATATATATTTATATATAAGAACAAGGCATTTGCTTTTGAGTTTTTAGTACATTTTCGAGGCATAAATAATTATGTGGGGCGCAGAATCGATAGGGTCTGTAAAGTACAGAGCCATGCAGACGAATGTAAAGTACAGCACTTGGTACAGTACAGTAAATACAAGTTATGTACTTGTTTCAGTAAAATAAAGTACTGAAGTACGAACCCAGAAAATAGAGCCAAGTTAGGGGTTTAAGTACAGAGTTAGAGCCATTCAAGAAAAGAGTGTGCTTTAAACTTAGTGCTGAGAGCTCTGATCAGTTTGCAGTTCCAGCTTCTTCTCTTACAATATGTACTTCCCCTTGCCCCGATGCTCCATGTGCCGCGTCGACGACGTTGCAGTGGCTGCAGCCAGCAGGAAACTGGAGCTACCGCCACTGCTGCTGGTGGTGCTGCCATAGCTTCCATAGCTGGCATAGCCATAGCCGCCGAGCGGCAGGGCGTTTAGCTAAATCATGAGCGCCGAGAAGGGGTTGTAGCGCATTATCTTCGATAGAAGAATCCACAACACTGATGTGATGGCACACAAAACGACACCGCCCCAGCCCAAGTCCAGACTCCACGATGTTAGGAATATGCGTGCGCCCAGCAAGGGCTTAGCCATAATAGCCACGCCCCCCGGACGTGCCACAATGCCATCGACGGTTCCATCGTAGTCGCTATCGAGCATGGGGCGGCCTTGTTGCCGTTTAAAGTGTATAATCATGAGCGTGAAGAGCGCAAAGAGTGCTAGCAGCGATCGGGAAAGAGAGAGAGTCAAATTAGTCTGTTATTTCGGAAGGTACAGCTTTCCACTCACCTGCCAACAAATACATAACGCCTGTGATCAGAATGGCACTGATTTGACGCTGACAAACACCAAAGGCGCCCACCAGAGCCGCGCTGCCCAATATAATGAGGCAGACTAGTGAGCAGGATATGGAGAGATTTTGCATTCCTGTGCCAACATTTAAATTAGTTTTTCTTTTTACATAAAGACTGAGTTCAATAATACAATGCATAGGATCGGGCATTATGTATGTAAGACTGAAGCTACGTGAAAATGGAATTAGCAAAGGCGCTGTGATGGGATTGTACGAATAAAAGCTATGGGGGAGAATATTTCATCACTTCAGCCGTTATTTCACTAAAAATTGAAAATTCGAAAGAATAAAATTATTTTTATTCTTGCATATTTGTTACTTGCATTTCAATTGAAATAGAGCTGTTTTGAATTCTTTAATTTAAATACTCATTTGTTATCATTCGGAATGAAAACATTCGAAAACGCAAGCTATTACGATTTAATTTGGAAACGCGCTTTTCGTTTCAGTTTTTAAACTAAGCGTAAATGAGAGCGGGCGTTTTTATTTTCTAATGCTCTCATCAGTTATAGATTCCTAGACTCAGACTGATTCAGTTTTGATTTCACATAATTAAGGCGGATTCGGAATTGCGAGCAGACCTGATTTGTTTTGTGAAAAGTTCATTTCGAAACTATTATGTACATCCTGTCAGCTCCCATTGCCTGTATTTCATTTCAAAGATTTCTTGAATAATGAACTTTCTAATGGCCAACTATTAAAACACCTGTGTAGCCAATTACCCAATGGATTGCCAATGCTCGGCAATTAAATCCCAGCCGGGCCCTTCTGCACAAAACTAATTCTCCCAAATCCAAAGTGGCAATTACAATTTACAACGCTTGGCGATAAGCGAAAGGACACAGGCCGGGTTTGGGCGTACAAAACCGCATGATGACCCCATTGCTAAATGGCGGGGGTCGTTGTTGGAGTTGTTGCTGCCACACGGACATGTGTCATGTATATACTATATATAATATATATAGTACTCGTATGTCATGATATTGACAATTGTCCAGCGACAAAAAATACACGAAAAAATGAAACCACAAACCCTACTTCGATGCCTGCCCGATTGTGAACTGTGTGGGGTAATTACTATATAGTTCCAGTTGTCTGTTCGGTCAAGGACGTTCAGACAGCAACTTTTTTGTTGTTGTTGTCGCTAGCTGTGTCTGATGTGCCCCACAGGGATTAGCAGCGAACAGCTTTGTTCGAGATTGGTTGGGATTTGATGTAATGACCTGTGAAGTGTGCGATGGCGGAAATTGTACAATTCTAAAGCCAGATGAGTGTAGTGAGTGCCAGTGAGCGGGTGATGTGAAGAAGCGTACAGATATTGCTTTAGAAATTTGAAAAAGTCTTTAGTTTTGCTTGCTGGTCGATCTACATACATCTAGTGACGTCTAGGGTACAACCTACATAGTACATACATTAAAGTTAGTGTGGGGAGTGTGGGTGGCTGAAAGAGTTCAACAGAAAATCGAATTATAATAAAAAAAGGTGCAACTAAAGCGAATTAAACCAATAGATGCTACATAACTATTTAGAATAAGTAAATACAGGTACAATAAATCCGTAAAAAGTACTGTTACTCTATTGGATTCGTATTAGATTTCATTAAATACCAATTCCTAAAGGACTGTTGTATGATACCCTTAAAATAGGTCAATCGAATGTAACAGGCTAATGGAAAATTACATTTTTTTTCTCAAACATTAAAACTTTGGTGAAAGCTGCAAACTGGAAGCATATTAATTAGGGCTTACAGGCGGAAATCGCTTTATAGGTCGGTTATTAATGAACCTGCAACATACACTTTTTCATATATATGTTAATTGAATAAATGAATAAAATCATAATTAAGTTCAAATAACGTAATTCCATTCAAACGTAATGACGATTCTATGTGCCAGACTAGGCTTAGAAACTACTGGGATCTTCTTTCTATATTTCGAAGTCTATCCTTTAAAGTTAATATCTAATACAAGTGATTGGATGAAGAACTTTATTTTCAACTTTTTCTATTCCATTCATTTGTTGTAGATTCGTTCATTTCGTTGTAGTTTTATAATTGGGTTAAGTATCCATAAAAACAAACACAATTTTCAAAGAGAAATCCATTGAAAAAAAATCCGAATATCTATTTTGGTTACACTATCGAAATGTGATCTTCGTGAAGCATTAATAAGGTTGCTTTTTCGATATCCCTAAAATTGGGGAATATGCAGGATAGACTGATCTAACCTGTTTATAGTATATTAATATCCGTTTGACAATTTAAATTGCAGCTGCAACAATATGTCCGCTGAAGCCAAATCAATTGTAGCTGCTGCAGATGCATCGCCAGTTAAAGAGGTTGTGAAGGAGGTGGCTACTCAGGTTAAAGAAGTTGCTGCTGCCGCAGCTGAGGCCGTTGCTGCAGATACTACTCCCAATGCCGATGGAAAGGCAGCGCCGGCAGCAGATGCAGAAGCTGCGGTTGTTCCCGAGCAAAGCCGAGGAGAGAAAATAATTCAAGCCAAGGAGTTGTTCAGCCAAGGATCGCGGAATTTCTTGGTGAAGAACTATGATGATGCAGCCGACGAGTTGAGTCAGGTTTGTCAGATTTACGAGGAACTGTATGGTGAGCTTTGCGACGAGCTCGGCCAGCCGTTGTTGTTGTAAGTAGTGAGCCTATTTATCGCTTTAAACGCAGAGTCTAAGCTGTGGGATTTTTTAAATAGATACGCCAAGTCGTTGATTGCTGTGGCTTTGGATGAGAATAAAGTGATTGATGTGCCCGATGAGGACGACATTGACGATGATGATGATGATGAGGAGGAAGCTGCAGCCGCTGAAGAGCCGCAGCAGAAACCAGCCGCAAAAAAAGAAGCCAATGGGGCAGCGAGCACCACAAATGGCAGCAAACTGTCAAGCATTAAAGAGAGCGCTGCAGACGAGGCCGATTCCACAGGTGATGCAGAGAAACCGAAGCCAGAGAGCAAGCCCACTGGCTCGGACGAGGTGAGCAGCAGCGATGCAAACGCGGATGCTGCAGCAGCCAGCAGCAACGGGAGCAACGATGATGAGCGGCCAAGCACATCCAATGGCGAAGCCACGGCCAGCACCAGCAATGGGGCGGCACCTGCCAGTGTGGCTGTGGATGACGAACAGATGGAAGACGAGAACGAGGAGGGGGTTAGCAGCAATTTGCAGCTGGCCTGGGAGCTTCTCGAGGCGGCGGCCAAGATATTCGCTCGTCAAGGACTCAGTGGATTACCCTATCTGGCTGATGTGCAAACGGAGCTCGCCAATATTGAGTTTGAGAATGGCATATTCGATGCAGCACGCGGGGATTATGGTTAGTTTTTCAATGGTGGCTATTCAATGATTCCATATTTATTCAATTATTCTATTTTACTTTGCAGAGAAAGCCTTAAAAATTCATGGGGAGTTGCCCAGCAAGAATCGGCGTGTGCTGGCCGAGCTCCACTACAAGATTGGACTCACCTATTTGATGCAGCAGTTGAACAAAGAAGGCGCAGCGGCGCTGCGCAACTCAAGCGCCTTAATTGAGGAGGAAATTGCGCACATCCAGGGCAAGGAGACAACGCCCAGTGAGCGCGAAAAGAACAACATACTCGATTTGGAAGAGACCAGACAGGAGATAATGGCAAAGATACAGGAAATCGAAGAGATGCAGGCACAGGTGAGTCGTTTCCTCCATTTCCCGAGAGAGTGCTCTTCAATATTAATTTTTGTTTTATCGTAGACAATTGCTGAGGTCCGTGCTGCCCTCGACAGTTACATCAAGCCTATGAGTAGCAGCAGCAGCAGCGGTGGCGCCAACGCTGGAGATGCTGCCGCCTCGTCGTCAACTTCCAGCAATGGGGCAGCCAGCTCATCGTCATCAACATTATCGTCGACGGCAAAAGGTATGGCTGCCTCATCTTCAGCCATTAGCAGCAGCTCCAAGCCCACAGATATTACACATTTAATAAAGCGCAAGAAGCCCGAGGAGCCCAATTCTGAGGCCGAGGCATTGTGCTCGCCGGCAAAACGTGCGGCGGTTTAAGGCAGACGCACACACACACATTCATTCCAGTTCAATCCATACAACAACTACTTAAATTCACACACAACCACACATACACCTGCAACCCTCCGTGTTCCCATACACACTCACAATCTATTTATGCTACTTGTTTGCTGTTTTTTCTACAAGATTTCCTAAGTCTATAAGTTAGAATCACAATTAGTGCTAAGTGCGTACGTCAAGAAAAAAGTAATGATAATAATATTTTATATTAAAAAAAAAAACAAAAAACGAAGTAAAAACAAAAAAAATCAATTCATCAATAAAAGTGAAATATGCTACAAAGCAACAAAAGGACTTGGTGGAATGGAGGGTGTGGATTGAAGGATTGTACCATACGTACTCAGATGCGGCTGCAGTGTGACCTGAGACTCACTGTGCTGCCAATCGTTGCGTTGCTCCTCGCCCCGCGCGTTCTCCATTGATCCGGCCAAATAGTTAACACAGGGCGGGGCGCCTCGCGGAAATTTCGGGTTGCGACGCAGCTCTTGCAACTGCTGCATCGGCAAATTGATGCACAGCGTCCAAATGCCACCATACATGGGCACGAGGAACACAGAATCGCGACGAAACCGGTGATCAGCTGAAAATATCAAATGGAATAAATGTATTTCTTATTGTGGGACTGAAATTGGGCCAACACATTTTCTTTAGAGAAAACCCCCAATAATTATATATCTAGCATACAAGTAGTAGCTGTTTCCAAATACACAAAATAATTATGTTCTTATTTGGAAATATCGTTTTTTTTAGATTCAATTCAGATTTTCGTAAAAAGAAAGGCTGATAATGGCATAAACTTTTATAAGATAGATTTCGGAAACAAATACTAAAATAAATGAATTATTTGTTTCAAAGCTCCCGGAATATCAATGATGTATTGCAAAGTTTCTGAAAAAAAGTTAACCATTGCACGATAGTCCCCCTCCTTGCTCTAAAGATTCTTGTTAAAATGCACGATCAACGAAGCTACGTATTAAAGATATTTGTGCAGCCAGATACCAATACAACACCAAATAAATCTGTTAACGACTAATATTAGTTCAAATAGTGAGTTATTCGAAAATACTTATGGGTACACTTTTTGCCAGTAGATTAAATTGTTTATTTTTAATACAATTTCTGAAGATTGGGAGTTCACTTCACGCCTTCATTAATCAGATTTTGTCGTTCTTTGTAAAGCCACTGCAATTCACTTCTGCGAGATTTAAATTAATTTGCCCTACTCCATTTAACTTCTTCCGCATCTAAGCTCTTGAACAGTATTCAGTTGCCTTGTCCTTGCAAGCTGGGTTAGGTCTTAAAATCCAAACTCAGCTTACAATCTTCTTTCATGTGGATCGTGAGTGCGTTTCAGTGTGCCCACATAGAAGAAATGCAAGAAAATGTAAATATTTAGTATTAATACGCTATCACGTGCTGGTCACACTTTTAAATTCACCGACGGCGCAAACTTTTAAATAGTCCTTGTAATTTAAAAAGTTGTATCTTCTTCTCAGATCAATTTTAAATTTTTAAAATATAGAAAGAAAGGACTTAACTCTTTCGCCATTAAATGTATAAAAGAACTCTTGTTTTCATTAGCCCGATTATTTTTAAAACATATTCAAAAGAAATTAACTATAACATTCTTTTCAAAATTTAATGAATTTTCTGGAAATCGCATTGCAGAAATCAGTTGAATTTCATAAAAAATCTAAAATTCCAATTGAAATCAAATATTATGGCATAAGAATATTTATCAATTTGGATTCAACTAATTTTAATTGAGCTCTTTTGCGTATTTAAAGAATTTTCGCCTACTTGCGATGTACTTTGGTACAGAGAATCAGGTTTAAAGGTCTTATAATGAAGAATAATAAATACTGCAAGTTTTTAAAACTAGCAAAAACCACCGCGCAATCCCTAACATTATGCTATATATTATCAAATTTGACTTACCACGCTTGTCTGGCTTCAGCATGGCCACTTGTTCGTCGAGCAGCCACTCCAGATGAAGTCCTGATCGATTCGAATAACGATCGAGGCTGTTGCGATCCCACGTCACATGCTCCCAGTGATCGGTCATGATGGCCGCGCACAGCATCGCCGTTGCACTGGTGGTCATGAGCAGGGTGACGAAGAGAAAGAGCACCGGGGGTGGACCCATGCAGCAGGTGGAGCAGCAGGCTCCAGCACCCACCGTGCTGCCCGCGTCCATGTGTGAACTTAGGGAGGTGGGCGTATCAAGGGCGTTGGCACTGCCGCGTCTCTGGATGACCTTAGCGCAACTATTCTGTCGCAACAAGATACTGTTACTGCGTCTCAGACTCTCGACAGCCGCCGCTGCTGCCGCTGTGGTTGCCGCTGCCGCGGAGCAGGCGTCGAATTGCAGAGAACCACAGCCCCCGACCACAGTCGAGGGATGCTCATAAATGCTGTTATGCCGACTCGGCGCAAAGTAATAGCACGTGGTCTGCCTTCCCGATGGCGCCTGCTGTTCCCCTACAAGCTGCGCAGAGGCTTCGGCCAACTCCTCATTGCTGGATGAGTAGACAATGGACTGCTTGAACTGATTAGAGTAGCAGTTCTGCTTAAAACTGCTGGCTCCAGGAATACCGACAGCGGCAGCAGCAGTGGCGTTTGTTGCTGTTGTTGTTGGCGGCTGTTGCACGTAAAGCGCCTCGTAGTCGTAATGATGGGGATTGCGATAAATAACCGGCCAGGAGCGTGTGGTCTTTGAGTTGTGGCTGTAGGTGGTGCTAACCAAGCCAGGATGCGAGGCTATTACGTTGCTGTTGTTGTTGTTGTTGTTGGCGTTGCTGCTGCTGGCAGCGGCAGCGAATTGCGAGTCCTCGACACTGCTCACCAGGGGCGTCAGTTCATTGGGTTCCTGTGCGTGAGAAACCAAATCAATTATTCTCAAAAGTATTAAACAAACTCTTTCATATTTGATCTTAATAAGCGAATAGGCCACAAGGTGTTATGAGAGTTGAATTTTGTATTTTGTTGTAATTAATCAGCCTTTTAAATACCCTATCTATCAATAAGAATGGAGTGATCTACATATGCCTTAATGAAATAAAATTTACTTGTGCTAATACATTATCTGTCTATCCTGGAATCTGATATAGAAGGCTGCTAATTGTTTTTAATAGTCTGGAAATCGTCCTTACCTGTGCTACGATAATGGCGCCACTTCCCTGCTGTAGTTCCTGTTGCTGTTCGAGCTGCTCGTTCGGCTGCGATTGTTCCAATTGTTGGCTGATAATCGTCGCCTGTTGGCGTTGTAAGACGTTCTTCGGACCGCTGCCGCTGCCACTGGCTTGTGGGTTGGTAGAGTTTGTGGGATCAGACGCCGTTAGTACACTGAAATCTTCCTCTTCGACCAATGTGGCCCCGCCCACTGTGGCAACTGAGGCTACGCCTATCCCTAGTCCTGGCGAGAAAATGCTGTTAGACGGCTGAGATCTGCTTCGCAGAAGGGTGAAATGTTTGGCTTGAGCATTGTTCTGATGTTGTTTCTGTTGTGAGTTCGGTGCTTCATGAACGGCTTGTTGTTGCGGTTGTTGTTGTTGCTGTTGTAGTTGCTGATAGTGAGTGCCACTCCCACTGGTGGGCGATGTGATGCTTACTTCCGGCACACAGCGTGCGGTCACTTTGTAGCGACTGCCGCTGCCGCTGCCGGCCATGGCCACGCCCACGCCCACACCGAGGCCGACGCCGCCAACACCGCCGCCCTTGGTGCGTACCAGTCATAAGTCGGTATCGCGTTTCTTAATCTTGTTCAGGCTCATGTGATTCGTGGTGTTGATTGAGGTTTGGTGTTGTTGGAAAGTGTTTGTTGTTGTTGTTTTTGTTATTGTTTTTATTGGCGCTTGATGATTTGATTGCTGATTGCTGATTGATGCACGTGTTGTTGCTGTTGTTGTTGTATTTGCGTTTGCGTACTAAAATTGTGTAGCGCCTAAGAGTCTACTATGCAAAATTATGTGCCGTTCCAATATAAAAAAGTCTACTTGGCGGCGTTTTGGTTTGCTTTTTACTGTAGTTGTAGTTATTGCTGTTGTTATTGTTATTGTTGTCTTATTTTTGTTGCTACTGTTACCAATTTACAGTTTAGTTTAATACATATAGTATGTATTTGATTCTACATTAGCGTTTGCAATTTGTTTGGTTTTTTTTTTTTTTTTTGATTAAGTAGCTTTGAAGCTATAATTGAAAGAAAAGAATTAGAGAAAAATCAAATGTACAGCAATTGTTGGAAGATCACAGTTATTGAGAAAAAGGGATACAAAGAGGTAAACATTATCATTACAGTGTTGCACAGTGCTATTAATCGATAATTGTACTGCAAGCTTCACCAATTGCCAAAACCTTAAAATTAAAAAAAACAACAACTAAAAGGCGTGCATAAATTGCGAAACAGGCAGTTGACAAAATGAATGACTGCAGACAAAAGACTATAGTATATGATGTGAATAATCAATGCTTTAATACATACATATGTGAGTATGTGAGAGAATGTGCTGCAAAAAGAATCGATTCAGAATCGACGTTATACTGTTTTCGTTTTTTTTTTTTTTTTAATTTAAATTATGCAGACAGTTTAACTTTTTCAAGCAACGATTACATTTTAGGCCATGGTCAGAGATAATTTCATTTCAAGAAGCAGCCCTGAACTAAGCACAATATAATTTGGCCGACATTTCCCTTCGTATTCGAGTGCCAAATGGAATTGCTTGAAATTCAATTGTATAGAGTCGCCAATCCCATTCCAACGCTAGCCCACCCCAGCCTTCCCTCCTGGCAGGACCGTGCAATTGTTGCATTTTACATGAGGACTCCACTGGCTCAAGTCTGTCGCGGAAATCCGACTGCGGAACCCGAAAGCCAACTCGTCCGGACACAGAGCGTGCAAATTGAATTTGCTGTGTGTGTGCCATTACAGCAGAGCAGCTACTTACAGAAGCCGGCTATTTGTATACATACTCGTACGGGGCGCACGTCCTCTGGCCCCACATTACAGACAGGCCGTGCCGTGCCGTGCACCTGTGACCAGGTGTGCGATTTCTAGGCAACAGCAACATTAGCTGGCGCTGCATACTGGGACTGGAAGTGACATTTTTTAATCAGAGACCGCAAATAATGATTATTACGTTTTTTTTTAGCTTTTCTTAATAGTAGCTTTTAGAAAACGACGATTATACGAAAAGCTTTCTTTTAGGATTATCTATGCATATTCACCATGATTGAAACCCCTTATTTTTTATTCGTTCTCACAATATATATATTATAGCTCAAGCAATATGTAATCATAATCAAAATTTTTGAGCAAAAAAATAAAACTCATAAAATAATAATTATGCTTTAAGCTTTACTTTTTTTTTATCAAATATAAAACTCCAGTATATTGTAAGAGAATTAATCAAATTAAAAAAGAAATAGTATTTTGTAATTTTTATAATGACACTTATATTGATTATAGTCCCTGTTTTGAATACAACATTTAGATCAAAATGATGACAATAGGTTCTGAAAATTTAAATTTAAATTTGGATGCCACTTTCTCGACTTGTATCTTATAATATTGAGATTTGTTACAAAATAGAACTCGCCCTATTTTTTTATTTTTGCTTTAAGTCAAATAATTTGGATGCCACTTTCTCGACTTGTATTTTACAATATTGAAATTTTTCTAGTACGTTAGCAGTAGCAAAGAGCTCTAAGTAGACAGAATAGTAACAAAGTTTCCTAGTATATAAATTATATAATTTATGAAAGGACAGGCAATTCTATAATTTATGAATACTTATTTACATAAAAATGTTGGTCCTGACTATGACTGTCGCAATTTTTAAAACTGTTTACTTTACACACTTCTATGTAAATATAAAAGCATTTTAGAGTCTACTTTTATTTGTCAACTTTTTGATAAGTAATATTGCATTTTGAACCATAGTGCATTGTTCGTCGACCAAAAGGTATATACGCGGTTTCTAGTTTTACATTTTTTTTTTTTTAGCGGTCAACGAGTTGTAACTTTTTCAAAAGCATATTTTGTGGCTTTAGGCCCAAAAGTGGTTCGTTTGGTTTTACTTCGTGGTTGGCGCGCATGTTGGTTTGTTATTTAATTACCGTGTTTTCTATGCGTACAATATAATACATACATATATATGGCAGCTATGCGCAATTTAAAACTAGACTGAAATAAAACAAAAACTACTTCATAACATATTGGCTAATCAGCGATATCACCCAATCCCTAGTTGCTTCACTGCCTCCATCGAACAATTTCTTAACTCTTGCTTTTAAATTTTTAATGCAAACGACGGAAACAAATGAAGAACTTTGTTTCTGTTCATTTACATAATTAATGCGATCCGCACGTGTATGAAAATGTGTGGGTATGCGTGAGTGTTGATGTGTGTGGGTGCAAGCTGCTTTAGATAAATAAGTACACTCATATATATACATATAAACGAGTATCTATAGTGCCTGGGCACGCACATTAGCAGGCCATTGGGCGCAGCTTGAACTGAAATTAATTAACACGCATATTAAATGGGGCCAACGGAGCAGGTGAGGGGGAGGGAAGGGCTGGAAATTGGCCGAATTTCAGGCCACTTGTGCATGCATGAAATTTGGGAAGGGCGTGTGAGATTCCAAGGACAGTGCCGCCTCCAAGGGGACAATGAGAATTGTCTTTCAATTTTTAAAACGAAAAATAGTTATGAGAAACTAGCAGCAGCTGGTGTATAATAAATGGAGAGTTTTCACACAGTTGTTTGTGTAAATAATACATACATGTACTATATATAGGAACAAAGTCGCATCTGGTCCATCACCAGGTCGACTGGACACTACATGATTATTGAAACTAATACAAGGCAAATAAAACCAAACGGCTACACTTCGATGACGATGTAAGAATGGCGCTAGACTGGAGGAACCCCCAAGGAGGCAAGCGGGTCCGTAGACCTAAGACGACAACCTGGCGGCTGACCAGCCTTCAGGAATTATCCCAGAACAACATCACATGGGACACAGCTAGACAGGCGGCTAGAAGTGCAGATGGATGGAAAGTTCTTGTAGAGTAAAAAGTAATAACAAAAAAAGAAAACAAGAGAGAACGCTACAGTCGAGCAAGCCCGACAGTAAAATAGCCTGTACTCTCCACAAAAAGGAAAAATTAAAAAAAAAAAAAATTTTAAAAAAATTAAATTATTAAAAAAATGAATGAATTAATTAATTAAAATAATTAATTAAATTAAATTAGAATACATGTTTATGTTCAGTTTAAACAGCATACATTTACATCACGTACCTATGCGTGTTTATATGCGTGTATGTATGCAGCACAAAGTTAAACCAAAGCAGCAACAACAGCTGCGGGCAGCGCTGCCGACAGAGCTGCAGGCAGCGCATGAGCAGCGATTTTACTTATGGCTATAACTTTCTTCAGAATTGATCTATCATGATGAAATTTGGCACACGGACACATTAGTACTAACTGGATGTACCTACCAAATTTTAAATTCCAAATTTTTAAATTCCGAGAATTACGGAAGTTATAAGAAAAAATACGAATTGCGGGGGAGTGGGGGGGTGTATCAGAAAAAATAAACAAACTCGTTCTGCCTAGGGCTTATAGGAACCTTGATACCAATTTTGGTTATCCTAGCTCTTGTACTTACTGAGATCCTTGCGCTCATACAGACAGACGGACAGACGGACAGACGGACATGGCTATATGGACTCGTCTTCTCATCCTGATCAAGAATATATATACTTTGTGGGGTCTGCCACGCCTCCTTCTGTGTGTTACATACATGCGCACAAAACTAGTATAGCCTTTCACCCTTTGGGTACAGGCTATAAAAAAGGGAACAAATGGCCTGCTTCGAAATGCGTTTGAAAAAGTACAGATTTACATTCCTTCATATAGTAAGTGTGTGTATTCAAATCACAAATACATAACAATGTATATATAACAATATATATATATATATATATATAGATATATATATATATATATATATATATATATATATATATATATATATATATATATATATATATATATATATATATATATATATATATATGTATATAAACATTACAAATTTTTATTCAGAAAGATTATCTTATCAATATTTGAGCTAAGAAGCCGAGTACGTCGCTCATTTAAAATATGTCCAGAAGTGGAAAAAACTCGTTCGCTTGTTGCAGAGCTGACAGGGATATTGAGTATATGCCTTGATAATTGCCTTAGCATTTTAAATTTTGTTGCTTTTTTCCAGAATGTTAGCACACAAATTCCTGGATCAACAACACTACTTATATAGTCATCTATTTCAATATCCATTCTTGACCTGTCCAATTTAATTTTTTTTTTTTGTTTTTGAATTATTAGTGTCCAAAAATTCAGAAAAGTCGTGTTGACTATTGGGTGCTTCGTTTTCTGATTCAAGTGTTAAATCGTTATTTAAGCTATCATCGATTTTAGTGTTCTTTCGTGTTTCCTCGTGCGTGTTTTGTCGTGCCTTTTTGGCTCAACACGAACACGCACGGCCACGCACGAAATCGGAATTTACAACACGAACACGCGGGCCCACGCGTGGCACGAAGTGCCACGACAAAAAACACGGCCCGTGCCCAACTCTAACACACACACACACCCTCTCGCCAT